GTCACAGATTTAGATTTTGCTAGTATGATCAATCTTGTTCATATCCCCCAGGGCAGGTGTGCAAGCAATTCTCTAGGATATAGTGTCTAAAAATCTTTTCAGATAACTTAATTATGAGTACATGCCAAGGTTTTATTACAGTCTTGCTATAAGAACAAAGGGCTCTGATAGACAAGGTAGGGGGGTGCGGTCCTTTACCAAGGAATCCTCCAACACCAGCTCGGTGTCCTAGAATTTAACTCAATCTGATGCCATCTGCCTGGAGTTATCATCAGATCCCAAAGGTTAAAGCTCAGTCCCACCAGACTGTCCCCTCACCTCCCCCTCCCCAGACGCCAATACCAAGTCCAGGTTGTCACCTGTGCTTCTGACCCAGACCCACGGCCTCCTTCCTCCTGGAGTTTGACTGATTTGTTCAACTGGCTCACAGACACCAGGAAAACTGTTTACCCACCAGATCCCCAGTTTATCACAGAGGACATATCTCGGGAGCAGACGCACAGGGCCAGGAATGTGGGAAGGGATACAGACCCTCCATCCCTCTCTGGGACCACTCTCACCGCCACTCGTCCCATCTCCACTGTTGACAGTCACAAGCTCTCCAAACCCTGTACTTTAGAGATTTGTTTGTAATTTTAATTGGAGGAGAACTACTTTACAGTATTGTGATGGTTTTTTGCCATACGTCATTATGGAGGCTTCATTACGTAGGTGTGATTGATGAAATCAGTGGCCACTGATGACTAATTCAACCTCAGCCCCCTCTCTCCTCCCTCAAGGTGGGGGAGGAGGGCTTAAGCTTCCAACCTTCTGACAACCCCAAAATTTAAGGCCTTTCCAAAAGTCACCTTATTAACACACTCTGGGAAGGTTGAAAAGTGCTCATTATGAATAATAAGACATCTTTATCACTCTGACCACTTAGAAAATTTCTAGGGTGTAGAAGCTCTATCATAGCAGTGAGGATGAAGACCAACTTCTTACAAATCACATCAGCACAGTAATCTTTGTTAGACTGTGTACAATAGAAACATCTAATTAAAGATCTTCAGACCCAATAAATAAATAAATAAAAAGATCTTTAGACTCTTGGGGACTTCTGTGGTGGTGCAGTGGTTAAGACTTCCAGCTTCCAATGCAGGGGGCACAGGTTCAACCCCTGATCAGGGAACTGAGATCCCATGTGCCATGAGGTGCAGCCAAAAAAAAAAAAAGTTAAGACTCAAATTAAAGTATGGGTATCTAGTATCTCAGAAGAGATCTTATTTTGGTATTTTGGTTAAAATCTATCATAAAATTGCTCAAATATGTTATTAGGAATGGTACCTGTTTGTGAATTATGTAAACCCACAGGCCAGACTGAGGGCAATTTTTATTCTATAATAACTGAAGTGATGTTGCTGGATCCAGGAACTATTCTTGCTCAACTTTGTTTTCCAAAGGGGTTGTAACAATTTAAACTCTCACCACAGTAGATATTGTCTGACTTTTTAATCCCTGCACATCTGCAGCTTATGAAGTGGTATCTCATCATGGTTTTAATTTGTTTATTCCTAACCTTGAACAACTTTTTATGTTTGCGTACATGCTCAGTCACTTCAGTCCTATCCAACTCTTCACAACCCCATGGACAGTAGCCCGCCAGGCTCCTCTGTCCACAAGATTCTCCAGGCAGGAATACTGGAGTGGGTTGCCATGCCCTCTTCCAGGGGATCTTTCTGACCCAGGGATCGAACCTGTGTCTCTTACTGACAGGGAGGTTCTTCACCACTAGCACCACCAGGGAAACCCCAGCTTTTTATATTTATTCCATCCTATTTCCTCTTCTATCTTCTTCATATACTCGAGATCTGTGCTATCAATATAGCAGCCACTAGTCATATATGACAACAATTAAAATTAAATACAATTTAAAACTGAGTTTCTGGGCTGTAGCGGGAGACTTTGGCGCGATGTCTCACATCATCTTACTGGTATAGCCTACCAAGAGGCCAGAAGGTAGAACTTACGCTGTGAATCTGTGAATGAGTGTATGGAAGGTGTTTGTAAAATGTATGAAGAAATCTGAAGAGAATGAATCCCAACAGCCCCTCTATCACATATGATATCAGTCAGTTGTTTGATTTTATTGATGACCTAGCAAACCTCAGCTGCGTTGTTTACCGAGCTGATACCCAGACATACGAGCCTTTTAACAAACATTGGATTAAAGAGAAGATCTACGTGCTCCTTCATCAACAGGCTCAACAGGCTGGGAAACAGTTGAGTTTGGAAGCATTAGGGGGATGGGAGTGGGCTTGGAACACAGCTGTGTGCAGTGTGCTGTAGTGGAAGTTTTGTATTATATTTATCCTGTTTCCATTTTGGTATACCCTAGCTAGAATTGAATGTATTAGATAAAATGTGATGATCTTGTTCAATCTGAAACTGTCTTTGCCTCCCTCCCCCCCCCTTTTTTTTTACTTAAACATTTTTATGATGATTTAGATGAAAGTTGGTTTTTGTCAGTTAACGTTGGTTCCAGTCCCTCAAACTGTTCATACTCGCTTTACAGCAGCCACTGTACTAATCCTCCTTCAAACTGGGGTGGGGAGTGGTGGTGCAGTTTAGTTATGTCCGCAAGATAAAGTCTTGGTGAAAAACAAACAAATGTTCTTTAGTTAAAAATAAATAAATAAAACTGAGTTTCTCAGTCTCATTAGCCGTAATTCAAGTGCCCAGTTTTAATGTAGTTGAATTTATGAAAGATCTACCAAAGCTCTTTTCCGTGGTCATGAAGATATTTGCCTAGATGTCCTTGTAAAAAATATAAAGTCTTGCCTTTTACAGTTAAGGCCTAAATCCACCCATAATTTAGTTTTGGGTGTGGCACTGAACAGGGATATATTTTCATTTTTTCCAATAGTTCCTTCTTTACTGAATGTATATTAGGCTTTTTTATATGCATGGCTCTTTCTCTGAGCTTCTAGTCTGTTTCACTGATCCTGAGCTGATCACATTGTCTTATTATAACTTTAAAATGTAATAAAAGCTTGATATCTTGGTTCTTCAGGAGTGTCTTGACTGTTCTCAGACCTTTGCACATCCATATAAAAAAATTTTTTTTGGCCATGCCAAAGGCATGCTGTATTCCCCAGCCAGGGATCAAACCCACACCCCTTCAGTGGAAGGGGGGAGTCTTAACCACAGACTGCTGGGGAAGCCACCATAAAAATTTTAGATTTGTTGTTCAAGTCCCCCATAAAATCCTGTTATAATTTTGACTGGAGATGCTTAAATCTACAGGTGGATTTGGGAAAAACAAACAACTGTACTATCTATGTGCTAGATCCTGTCCACGGCCCTGGTGATGTAGCAGTGAGCAAGACAGACGAGGGGACGTCCCATCAAAATTAGGCTAAAATCCAAACTCTTCACCATCGCCTACAAACCAGTCCACACAAGACCTTCCCCAACTCCCTGCTGACCTCTCACCACTCGCTTTCATTCTGAGCTCCAGTCACAGCTTCCTTTGTATCCCTGCACCTCAGCAAGCATTCTCCAGCTGTGTTTTTGCCAGAATCCACTCTCCACTCTCTGCACCTCACTTGCGTGACAGGCTCCTTCACCTTAAGCAGGTGTTTGCTCAAATGCCCACCTTTTCAGAGAGGCCATTGTGCTACCTAATAAAGCAGCATCTCTCTCTAACCTTAGCTGTATTCCATAGCCCTCATCACTACCTAACATGTTAAAGATCATTTTGTTTTGTTTTCTGCCTCCCTAAGAGAAACTGAGCTCTCTGAACCAGGAACTCCATCTGTCTTGTTTATTATCACGTTCTCAGGGCTTTGACCTATGCCTGGAACATAGTTGTTGTTCCGTTGCTAAGTCGTGTCTGACTCTTTGTGGCCCTGTGGACTGCAGCACGCCAGGACTATAAGCAAGCACTCAGTAAATTTGCTGAATGAATGAAAGAGCAGGATCAGACAAATGATCAGGCAGTTTTGGAAAATACCCAGGCAAGCTCTCTGAGTTGGTATAGCTACCCAAAGTTTTATAAATATTTGGCTAGTGCTTATCAATTTTTAAAAAATGTCCACATTCCCCAAAGACTTCCAGGGAGAATAGTATTTAACCATCTAATCATTTTAGAGTCTGATTTGCAAGTATGTTATCATTATATTTCTATATGAGGGTTTGGGGAGATAGATTTTATTTTTAAAAATATTTATTTGGCTGCACTGGGTCTTAGTTGTGGCTTGTGGGATCTAGTTCCCTAACCAAGGATTGAACCTGGGCCCGCTACACTGGGAGTGCAGAGTCCTAGCCACTGCACCACCAGGGAAGTCCCTGGGCAGATAGAATGTAATTAATTCCAATTTATCAATGTTTTATTTTACAGATTACATTTGTGGTATCATAATTAAGAGGTATTTACCTAATTGAGGAACACACAAAAATATTTTTTCATTTAGACGTGACCAAACAGGTCACTGGTCCCTGCTGATGTCCACTGGGGTCTGAGGGACAATGTTGTGCACTGGAGCCCATGGTCTCCTGTACCACAGTGCCTTCCAGTGAGCCTGGACATTGCCCACTTGGTCTGGGAGGGAGTATTACAGCCTGCAGATGCCCACTGAGCACCTACTGTGTCCCAGGCATCAGTCTGGACACCATGATAACACAGTCTCTGACCTGCTGGGCTTCCAACGTACGGGAGGTGAAAAATGAGTGAGCAGAGCAAGTTCAGGCATTGATAAGTGTGCTGAAGGCAAGAAGAAAGTATTCCAGTGGGTAGGACAGTGTGGTCAGAGAAGGGCTCGCTGAGGAGCAGACTCCTGAGTTGAAACCTGAATGATAGGATAAAAAGGAAGAGCAGTCCAAGCAGAAGGACGAACACAAGTCCCAAGAGCAACAAGGGCGAGAAGGGTCTGGGAGAGGGAAGGAAGGCTGTCGGGGGAGGATTAGAGTGATTGAGGGGGTGCAGTGGGGGCAGCACTGAGCAGGAGGCTCCCTCTGACCTCACTGGGCCTGAAGGCCACAGCGAAGACTCTGGGTCTGACTCGGGAACAACAGGAAGCAGAGGAGTGACTGGCGGTGAGTGAGCTGCTGGATTCTCCAGCGATGGACAGGCCCATTCAAGACTATGCTGTGCTCAGCCTGGGGCCTGGAGGCCAGAATGCAGACGAGACATCAGAAAAACCATCTTCTCCAATACCTGGCCAGGGAATCTGAGCCAGAGAATTTTATATGGAATGGAATCACATAGTCTGTACCCTGTACCCTTTTTTGTCTGGCTGCTTTCATTCAACATAATTTTTTTGAGATTCATCCATGTTGTTTATATATGTATAGTTAATTTATTTTTAATTCTGGGTAGTACTCCATTGCATGGCTGTACTACAATTTATCACAAGGACTTATCATGTATGTAATTGACTGTGTCTCTCTCCACACTGGTTGGGGAAAAAACTACCAAAACAACCTGTGGCCCATTTCTAGCAAACAGATTGACTTCAAAGCTAGCATTTTCTATACTCATCTCACTCCTCATTTTCCTTTTTTTCTCCCCATCCACTTACCTTTTGTTACACTATAAACATTTAGGTCAGTCATCTAGGTACTGCTCTGAAACAAGGATCAAGTAACAATACTTGTCACCCTGCTTGTTTAACTTATATGCAAAGTACATCTTGTGAAGTGCTGGGCTGGATGAAGCACAAGCTGGAATCAAGACTGCTGGGAGAAATATCAATAACCTCAGACATACAGATGACACTACCCTTGTGGCAGAAAACAAAGGGGAACTAAAGAGCCTCTTGATGAAAGTGAAAGAGGAGAGTGAAAAAGCATGCTTCAAGCTCAACATTCAGAAAAGGAAGATCATGGCATCTGGTCATTACTTCATGGCAAATAGATGGGAAACAACGGAAACAGTGACAGGCTTTATTTTCTTGGACTCCAAAATCACTGCAGATGGTGATTGCAGCCATGAAATTAAAAGATAGTTGCTCCCTGTAAGAAAAGCTATGACAAACCTAGACAGCATATTAAAAAGCAGAGACATTACTTTGCCAACAAAGGTCTGTATAGTCAAAGCTATGGTTTTTCCAGTAGTCATGTATGAATGTGAGAGTTGAACCATAAAGAAGGCTGAGCACCAAAGAATTGATGCTTTTGAACTGTGGTGTTGCAGAATACTCTTGAGTCCCTTGGACTGCAAGGAGATCAAACCAGTCAATCTTAAAGGAAATCAGTCTTGAATTTTCATTGGAAGGACTGATGTTGAAGCTGAAGCTCAGATACTTTAACCACCTGATGTGAAGAGCTGACTCATTAGAAAAGACCCTGAGGCTGAGAAAGACTGAAGGCAAGAAGAGAAGGGAATGACAGAGGATGAGATGGTTGGATGGCATCACCGACTCAATGGACATGAATTTGAGCAAGCTCCAGGAGATGGTGAAGGACAGGGGAGCCTGGCACACTGCAGTCCACAGGGTCGCAAAGAGTCAGACATGACTGAACAACAATAAGTAAGAGTGCTCTGCTTTGATTTGATTTGACTAGTTCTTTCCTGATGTTTGCTTAGGGATGCTGAGCTTTGTTGATTTGGTCTATTCATAGATGCTCATTATCTCCTACTTGGCCAATGGCCACCATGTCTGGAGTGCTGGTCTCTGATCTCATCCTCTTTCTATGCACCTGCTATGATGTCACCTAGTTATCATTCTACAGTAGGAATCTGAACATGTCCTTCCCATGCAGAGCATCTGCAAGAAGAATCTAAAGTCCTCAGCATAGCAAGCCAGGTCCTTCATTAGTCATTCATGCTGTCAACAAATATTTACTGAGTGCTGACCATATACTAGGCTGCATGCTAGCCAGCTAAGAGTGGAGGTATGGTGATAAACCAGAGGGACCTGGTCTGTACCTCATAGAATTTATATTCTAGTGGAGGAAACAAAGGGATAAACCACCATGTAAGCAATACAATTATGGATTATGTAAACATGAAGTCATTTTGAAAGAAATAACCAAGGTGCTACAGTTGAGTACTGGGAGCAGGAATGGGTGTTAGAGAAGGCCTTTATGAAGATGTGATGTTTACACTGCATAAAGTAGGAGACAGCAGGAGCCACAGAGTTCTGGGCAAAGGAGACATCAAGTGCCAAGGTCCACAAGTGGGAAAGGCCTGGGACGGCAGGACTGCTGGAGGTAGTGAAGCTGCTGGAGTGTTGACCTCTGCCTCCTTCTCCAGGCTTATTTTCCACCTGCAGTCCCCCTAAATCCCAGACACAAATAGGTACCCACCTGTCCATCATACTATGCCTTCTCACTTTTCACCTGCTCCCCTCTCTCTGAACAATCCTGACTCCTCCCTGAGATTGGGCTTCTAAGTAATTCCTTTGTGGTAACTTTTGGGTTGCTCTGCTACCCTCCTCCAGGCAGCTAGACAGCTCCTTCCTCTTCTATGCCCCCACAAAAGTCTATGTACTTCTCCTTGTCTGTGCAGCTAACATTTACTGAGTGCTTCCTGTGTACCAAAAACTTTTCTAAGCATTCTACCTGTAGAAACTAATCTTGCAAGGCAGGTTCATTCAACCCTCAAAAACCCTGTAAGGGGGACCTCCCTGATGGCTCAGTGGTTGGGGATCCGCCTTGCAATACAGGGGACCTGAGTTTGATTCCTGGTCAGGGAACTAAGATCCCACATGCTGCAGAGCAACTAAGCTCTGGTGCCACACAGAAAGTTCCTGCATGATGCAATGATGCCAAATAAATAGTAAAAAATAAATTTTAAAAAACCCTGTAAGCTAGGTATTATTAGTATCTCTGCCCTATATACATGAAGACACTGAGGCCCAGAGAAGTTGAATAACTCACTGACAGTCACAATGAGTAAATGGTAGAGTCAAGATTTCAACCCAATCCAGTCTGTGCTTTAACCACTAAGCCATTTTTGCCTTTTAAGATTGACAACAGTAGCTAGCATTGATCAAGCACCCCCTATAAACCGGGCTTTCTTCTCAACCCTTTACATGTATTAACTCATTGAATCCTCCAACAACTCATTAGGATAAATACTCTCAGGATCACAATGACCCCCTTTATTGGCACTAAAACCACAACCCCCTTGGGTGGGGCCCATGTCCTACCCAAGTCAGCCACCCCAAAGCCTTCCATTCCCAGAAGCTGCTGGACATGTCTGCTGAATGAGCAAAGAAACCAACAAACCTAGTCTTTCTCTTGGCTCAACATTAAATTTCAAGGGACTGCCCTGGTGATCCCATGGTTAAGAATCTGCCTTCTAACGCAGGGGACATGGTTTCGATCCCTGGTCGCGGAACTAAAATCCCACACACTGCAGGACAATTAAGTCTGTAAGCCACTATGAAGATCTGGAGTGCTGTAACTAGGACTTGATGCAGCCAAAAACAAAGAAAGAAATATTTTTTATAAAAACAAATAAACATAAAATAAAAATTTTAAATTATTTTAGCATCTTTGTAACAGTGAAAACTAGGAATATCTTGATGTTAAACTGTGATATCTTCACATAGGAGAATACTACACAGCAGCTAAAGCAATTGAACTAGCTTTATTAACACAGCTAAGCCACAAAAAACAATATTAAAAAGGGGAAGTTGTAGAATGAGAGAGTATGACATCACTTACATAGTCTAAAAACAGGTGTTTTAGTCTGTTCAGGCTGCTATAATAGAACATCACAGACTGAGCAGCTTATAAACAATAAAAAACATATTTTTCACAGTTCTGGAAGCTGGGAAATTAACATTAAGGTGCTGGCAGATACAGTGTATGATGAGGGGCCACTTCCTATGTCCTCACATGGTGCAAGGGGGCTCTCTCTGGGGCCTTTCATAAGGACACTTGGCCCATTTTTAAGAAATCTGCTCTTGTGACCTAATCACCCCCAAAGGCCTCACCTCCAAATACCATCACACTAGGACTAGGTTTCAACACATGAATTCTGGGGGGTCACATTCAATCTATAGTAACATGTAGTATTTATGGAAACATTAATGTATGTTATTAGTTTTAAAAGGCTCCTGGGGTTGATAAACATCAAATTCAGCACCTCCAAAAAGAGAAAAAAAGTATTGGTACTGGAGAGGGAATACTTAAAAAAAAAAAATTAACACAGATTCATACAGGTCCAGCCAACTGAGTTTTAACAAAGGTGCAAAAGTAATTCAATGGAGGAAAGATAGTGTTTCCATGGTGAAACTGGAGGAATTTGACATCCAAAAGTGAAAGAATGAACCTCGACTTAAGCCTCAAAATGAATCATAGATTGACATGTAGGGAAAACACGAAGTCTTTGGGATCTAGGGCTAAGTGTAGAACTCTTAGACACGACACCAAAAGCACAATCCATTAAAGAAAAGAACCAATAAACTGGACTTGGTCAAAAATTTCAAATTTTGCTTTATGAAAGATGCTGTGAAGAGGAGAAAACAGGAAACTGGGGGACTGCAGGTCTTAGAAGGTTTACAGAGCAGATGTAACAAAGCAGAAAGGTAGATGGGCAAGAGGTTGGATTCTGAGAATTGAGTACTTGGGTGTAAGAAAGCAGAGTGTGATCATTTTAGGTGATGTCCAGGTTCGTTGCTTAGGTGAAATGGAGATGACTGTGGAAGAGATCAGGTAAGCATAAGATAGGGTGTTAAGACATCTCAAAATAACAAACCTTTGTACTTCAAAAGACCACCAAGAAAGTGAAAAGACAACTTATAGAATGGAAGAAAATACCTGTATTTTCTAAGAATTTGTATGTAGAATATATAGCGAACATTCAAAACTCAACAGTAAAAAAATGTAAACAGTCCAATTACAAAATGGGCAAAAGAGATGAACAGATATTTCTGCAAAAACAAAATCCACATGGCAAAGCAGCAAATGAAAATACATGCAACATCATTAACCATTAGGGAAATGAAAATTCAACATCTAAACACTGCACAAGAATTACATAGCTAAAACTTAAAAAAAAAAAAAGTGACAATTCCAAATGCTGTGAGGATGCAAAGAAACTGCATCTCCCAGACACTGGGGGTGGAGAGTAAATAATACAACCCCTCTGGAAACGGCAGTTTCTTAAAAGACCTAACCATTCACATACCTGATAACCCAGCAATTACACTACTAGGCATTCATCCCAGAGAAAGAAAAACATCTGCTTACACGAAAATATACATGAATGATCAGAGAAGCCTGTGTTAAAAAGGAGATAAAATGCCCCAAATGGAGTCACTTGTGTCAGGCCCCAGGGCAACAATCTAATACTTCATCCCTAACCCAATTGCAGTTACAAGCTTCCCCAGGAAACTGACCTTTAACCAGACAACCTGGAATGTCCTGGTCAGGACTAGGATCCATCCCTGTGATTCATGGATACCTCTGCCCTTCCCCTTAGGAGAGGAAGGCAGCCTCGCCTAAAACAAGGTATTCTTGGCTAATTCTTTCCTTTTTTCTGCTTCCTCTCTGCCTTTAAAAATCTTTTCTTTTCTGTAGCTCAACAAAGCTCTTTCTATTGCTAGATGGGACATTTCCTGATTCACACATTGTTAGATAGAGTCATGTGATCTTTGTATTTATTCAGCTGAGTTTTTGTTACTTAACATTTGTAATAGCCAAAAACTGGAAACATCCCAGTTTCCATCTGTAGGTGAAAGTCCATCTGTAGGTGAATGAATAAACCAAATGTGGGACACATATACCACAGAAAGATATTCAGCAGCAAAAACGGATGAACTCTTCATATATTCAACAATTTAGATGAATTTTACATGAAAAATGTCAAAAGGTTACATACTGTACTATTCCATTTATGCAACATTCTTAAAATGACAAAATTATAAAGATGCAAAATGGATTAATGACTCCCTGGGCTTGCGGGGAAGGGGTAAGAGAAGCTGTGACTGACCATAGGAGGTAATCAAGAGGTTATCCTTGTAATGATGAAAACAGCTCTCTGTACCTTGATCGTGGTGGGGGTGACATGAATCTACTATCCACGTGATAAAACTGCATACAACTGCACACATACTGAAGTGCATGTAAAACTGCTGAAGTCTGAATAAGGTCTGTGTGTTGCACCAATGTTAATTTCCTGGTTTTGACATTGTACTACAATTGTGTAAGCTGTTGTCATTGGGGGAAAATGGGTGAAGGGTACATTGAGACTTCTCTACTATTTTTGTGAGTTCCTGTGAACCTGTAATTATTTTTAAATAAAAAAAATAAATCATTAAGGAAACGCAAGTCAAAGCCACAATGAGGTGTCATCTAACACCCATTGGGACAATCATTTTTTTTTTTAATAACAAATGTTGGTGTGAGGATGTGGAACAACCAAAATTGTACACTAGGGAGGCATGTAAAATAGATTTGCTGTGAAAAACACTTCAAAAAAATTAAAAATAGAATTACCTTAAGATCTAGCAATCTCACTTGTAAGTGCATATTCAAAAGAACTGAAAGCAAGATCTTAAGGAGATATTTGCACAACCATGTTCACTGTAGCAGTTCATTATTCACAAAAGCCAAGAGGTGAAAGAAATCCACATATCCACATAGATAGATACATGGATAGACAAAATGTGCTGCATACATACAATGGAATACTATTCAGCCTAAAAAAGGAAATTTGTCACACACACTGTATGATTCCACTTACATAATGTACCTAAGATGGTCAAAATCATACAAAGTAGAATGATGGTTAGGGGAAGGAGAAATGGGAAGTTGTTATTTAATGGGTATAGAGTTTCAGCTTGGCAAGATGAAAAATTCTAGATATGTTATAAATAATGTGAACACAGTTAACACTACTAAACTGTACATTTGTAAGTGTATAGTTAGTCTGTGGGCTGAAACCACTGAAGCCCAAGTACCTAGAGCCCTTGCTCCACAACAAGAGAAGCCACCAAAATGAGAAGCCTACACACCGCAACTAGAGAGTAGGCCCTGCTTTCCACAACTAGAGAAAGTCCACGCATCAACAAAGACCTAGCACAGCCAAAGATAAATGTTTTTTAAAAAGTGCATAGTTCGTAAATTCTATACCCCATTTTTTTCACAAAAATATTTTTAAAAGCTTAAGCAAAATAGCTTTTGCTATTCTGTTAAGATTTAACAAAGTTGGGTGGTGGTTATATGGTGTTTGTTATATCATCTCCAACTTTCATATATGTATATAATCTTTCACAGTGAAAATCTTTTTGAATAGCTATTCTTTTAGAATTATTTATTTATTTGGCTGCTCTCGGTCTCAGTTGCCTTACTCCAGATCTTCAATCTTTATTGAGCTGGAATCTACTTCATGACCAGGGATCGAACCCCCGCCCCCTGCATGGGGAACATGGGGTCTTAGCCACTTGACCACCAGAGAAATACCTTGAATAGCTATTTTTAAATGGACAGATTTTTAAAATTTTGAGGCCCAATATAAAGACAATTTAGAATTTTGCTCTGTGTTCATTTGGGCACTCAATATCAAAGTTTCTAACTTGCTGGTAAGAAATCAGAATTAGTCTCATAATTCTGTTGCAATAAACTGCCAAACAAGGAAATGACAAACCACAGAATAACTCTGTATTTTAAATGTCAGCTGATAATGTCAAGAAAACAATTGTGAATTTATAATTGGAAACAGTTTTCTCACAGATTTTTATTAAAAGACCTCTAGCTAAGTAAAAAATCACTTTGAATCTTAGAATCAAATTCTTCCTTTCAAAGGGACTGCCTAGGCAAAACCATTTGCACATGGTTATTAAACAAGAACTGTTTTTTGCTTTGTGTTTTAAGTGTCTAAGGCTGTCAACATTTTCCCCCAGTTGAACCAAAGGGAAACTACAGTTCACTGAACAAACATTTATTAAGCACAATGCCAAGTACTGTACTAGATTTCCAAATTTGTGATTTCAGGGATTTCTGTCGGTCTATTCTTTAATGTGTTTATCGACTACCTTTTACAATCACCAGAAATGACGCTATTATTAAAAGTTTCATTAAAAAACACACCATAAAAAACTCATCTTGTCTATTAAACATGGCACGCATACGCCTCTTTTCTGAAAACATTTTTCTGTGCTGAGGTTACCAAATGCCCTTTGTTCAAACATTAAACCAGGAAGCTGTATGACTAACTTCTGGCAACTGCTAGAATTCCCAGACATGTCACCGTATCAAGCCATGAGATTTCCATTCTAGATCATTCCACCAATTCACAGGGATGACTCAAGAGGAGTTGTCACTTAGTGAAACAAGCTCAAACTACTGAACGTCTGGCTAACAAAAATGAAAATCCATACTTTGTACCATGAACGTTTAATCAACTACCTCATCGACCAAATTATCTTCAAGAAACTGTTTATTTCTATCTTCTATCATTCATGTAAATAGATTTTAGTAAGTCAGAATAAATTTATCGCTGCCTGGACGTTAACTCAAATGCTTGTCACACTGTACCTCCTCTGTTAAGCGTTGAAGGATTGTCATTTAGACTCACGACCTTTCCTAAGTGAAAACTAGCCAGACCACCTCCTAACTTCGCGAGGTTGCTTCTACGCGACAGCCACAAACATGTTTATTTACACCCCCACCAGCATGACTCAGCCGCCGGGCTGCGTAGCTGCGGACCCAAACACGTCTGCCTTACTCACGTTCCCCCGGTTATCTCGTTGCTGACCAGCGGTCGCACCCGCAGCGGGGTCCTAGGGGTTAAACCACCCATAATGTCGCTGGCACAACCAACACGTTGATGGGACACTAAAAATGCTAGGGTCGCGAATTCTCTCGTACGTGAATTCTGTCCCTCCATGTGGGTTTTCGGCTCCCCGATCCACACCATCTTTCACTCGGGGTCTGGACAAACAGCAGTGAGGGTAAGCGCGGCCACCGGGTCACCTGGAGCGGGGATTTGGGGGGCGGGGCTGTGCAGTGGAGCAGTGAGCAGTGTGAGGACTCCGTAATGAGGACGGGGAAGAAAGCCTCCACCGTGGGGGTGGGGGGGTTCGCGGCGAGGAACAGGGAGTGGGGGGAGGCCTCTGCGTGGAAGACGTTGCAGGGAGGAGTGTCCCGCATGGAGGGAGGTCGAGAAGAACCTTCTCGTCAGGTGAACGCCTCCGCGGCGGGGGAGGGGGCCTCCTCGGTCGATGGGGCGGCGGGGGGGTGGAGATGGAGGGATGCCCGGGCCCAGTACAGAATACCAAGAGTCTAGATTTGGTCTCCTCAAAGCATGACCAAAGCAGCCTAACTGTACAACGTGACTAAAGTTCCGCAACTGTGCTCCAGACAACAAAAATAAAACGGGCCGATGTGAGAAGGGCTTGTGCCTCAGGGATGACACCAGAAAAACTGCGGGCTCCGCCGCCTAGCTCCTGGGCACCTCCAGACCACCACTTTCTCGGGAAAATCACCGCGGAACCCGCTATATCCTAACCTAAAACCCGACAACACATCTGAGGAGTCCGGGCCTAAGAGGCGGAAGGGAACGACCCCTCCTCCACCCCCAGCCGGAAGTACGCTTCTCCAGTGACGGCGCCCCTTTGCCGCGCATGCGCTCTCAGTTACTAAGCAGCGTCGTTGCCGAATCACCCCAGCGGGAGCCCAGCAACAGCCGAGCCGCTGCCTTCCCCACCAATCAGAGCCGGCCTCGCCTCACACCACTCACCAATCAGAGCCGGCGCTGCAAGGAAGTTTCCAGAGCTTTCGAGGAAGAGCCCCTTAACTCGAATTCATCCGCCCGATAATTTTCCTACCTTTTCCTAAAGGAGGAGAAGGATCATCTGGAGGGGAGGGGAGCTGATTTGTTAGGATCCTTTTTTCCGGTTGTGAGGAATTTAGAGCTCAGTCGAAGGACATAATTGCGTCGCGAGCGGTGGGGCCGAGCGAACTACTTTTAGCGGCGCAGGAACACTACGCCTACGTAAGAGTGATAAGTGACGCAACAGACGTTGTATAAATTTCGGCCCCGCCGAGCCGGAGCACTTAGAGGCGACTGGCATTGTTGGCTTCCTGTGTCGTGTAGGAGGCGACGCGGCGTGATTGAATTTGAGGCATCTTCGCATTCATTCACAGGTACTGGCCCGCAGCCGGGAGTGTCGGGAGGAGCGGAGAAGGGGGCTTCGGTGAGGGCGAGCCGTAGGGGGCTCGGAGTCCACGAGGTGGGGTCGGGTCGGGTCGGATGGGGTGGGGTGAGGTGGGGGAGGGGAAGCGAGGTGACGCGGCCCCGGCCTTTCCGGAAGAGCGGGCCTTGTTTACGTGTCGGGAGCGGGGGCGGTTGGCGCGCGCGCCCGCCGGCAGAGGTCAACGGACACTTAACCGATGGAGATTCCATCGCGTCTGTTTCAGGGGGGAAAGGTGGAAGAGAGGTAGTGGCGGGGGCTGCTGGAAACCTTTTTAATTCGAATCCTGCCGTGGAGGAGCTGTAGGTCCCCAGTTGCGTTTAAGCAAGTTTTTTTATCTAAATGCTGACATGATTACTAGGTTTGGGGGGAATTGGGCGGGATCTTAACGGAGTACCTGAACAGTTCTGGATGATAATATCAGAAAGTACCTTCAAGTCTCCAGCCTGCTAGGTAGACGTCTTGAGTAAGGAATTTTGACTTCAGTGACTGATAAAGTTTGTCTAGTAAAAAAAAAAAAAATTTGTGAGAGATCTTGACGTAGTTAAGGCGTTTTAGAATATAGTCTGTTCGTTTTGAACAATCAATTATGAAAGCAGTAAAAGATTCTGAAAGTGACAGTAACGTTTTTTCTATTAACCTTTATAGGTCAAAATGCAAATCTTCGTGAAGACCCTGACCGGCAAGACCATCACCCTGGAGGTGGAGCCCAGTGACACCATCGAGAACGTGAAGGCCAAGATCCAGGATAAGGAAGGCATTCCTCCTGACCAGCAGAGGCTCATCTTTGCCGGCAAGCAGCTGGAAGATGGCCGCACTCTTTCTGATTACAACATCCAGAAAGAGTCGACCCTGCACCTGGTTCTCCGTCTGAGGGGTGGTATGCAGATCTTCGTGAAGACCCTGACCGGCAAGACCATCACCCTGGAGGTGGAGCCCAGTGACACCATCGAGAACGTGAAGGCCAAGATCCAGGATAAGGAAGGCATTCCCCCTGACCAGCAGAGGCTCATCTTTGCCGGCAAGCAGCTGGAAGATGGCCGCACTCTTTCTGATTACAACATCCAGAAAGAGTCGACCCTGCACCTGGTCCTCCGTCTGAGGGGTGGTATGCAGATCTTCGTGAAGACCCTGACCGGCAAGACCATCACCCTGGAGGTGGAGCCCAGTGACACCATCGAGAACGTGAAGGCCAAGATCCAGGATAAGGAAGGCATTCCTCCTGACCAGCAGAGGCTCATCTTTGCCGGCAAGCAGCTGGAAGATGGCCGCACTCTTTCTGATTACAACATCCAGAAAGAGTCGACCCTGCACCTGGTCCTCCGTCTGAGGGGTGGTATGCAGATCTTCGTGAAGACCCTGACCGGCAAGACCATCACCCTGGAGGTGGAGCCCAGTGACACCATCGAGAACGTGAAGGCCAAGATCCAGGATAAGGAAGGCATTCCTCCTGACCAGCAGAGGCTCATCTTTGCCGGCAAGCAGCTGGAAGATGGCCGCACTCTTTCTGATTACAACATCCAGAAAGAGTCGACCCTGCACCTGGTCCTCCGTCTGAGGGGTGGTATGCAGATCTTCGTGAAGACCCTGACCGGCAAGACCATCACTCTGGAGGTGGAGCCCAGTGACACCATCGAGAACGTGAAGGCCAAGATCCAGGATAAGGAAGGCATTCCTCCTGACCAGCAGAGGCTCATCTTTGCCGGCAAGCAGCTGGAAGATGGCCGCACTCTTTCTGATTACAACATCCAGAAAGAGTCGACCCTGCACCTGGTCCTTCGTCTGAGGGGTGGCTGTTAATTCTTCAGTCTTCTATTCATAATGCCCAATGATGGCATCGTTCTGCACTCTAGCCATTTACCCCAATTTAAGTTGTTTACCGGTTTCAGTAATAGCTGAACCTGTTCAAAATGTTAATAAAAGTTTTCTTGCATGGTAGCACTTTTGGTGTCTGTTCTGAATACATGGTAATGGTGGGTACTCTTAGCAGGTTAAAATGGTATTCAAAGAAGGCATTTGTCTGCAGTTGTTTGTGTGACCAAAATTTAAGTCCTTGGCAAACATTCCGTGTGCCAAGGTATAGACCTCTGTTCAAGATCATTAATAGGATTCTAGTGTAATTAAAACCATTTCAAATTGTAAGAGTATGGAGGCATGTTGGGGAAAAGCACTTTCCTGCCTCCTGAAATAGTGGGTAACAATCAAGACTTACTACAGAGAAATGAAATTCAGAGGCTGGTCAGTTGTGTTCTGAAGTCCTGTAATTATTGGTTGGCTATTGTCCCTTTTTTCCTCTGGTGCTTTACACTTGGGTGTTTAGTCTTAGATAATAGAACCATAATTTTCTCTTAAGTGAACTGAGCCAAGAACCAAATGGAGGCCCTGGTCAACAAGGGTAAGGAGAGAGATTGAGTTAAGGTGATTACTAACATCATTGGTTCCTAATAACAGCTTTGCCTCTTTGTTAGGGGTAAGATTGCTCCAGTGAAGGAGATTCTGTAACTTGGGTGGTGGCAAGAATCTTGTGGAAACCCTACATGGCAGATTTTGTGCTCCCATCCCACGTGGTGCAGTGGTAAAAAAAAATCAGCCTACCAATGCAGGAGAACCAAGAGATGCAGGTTTGACCCATGGGTCGGGAAGGTCCCCTGGGAAAGGAAACAGCAACCCACTTTGGTATTCTTGCCTGGAAAATTTCATGGACAGAGGAGCCTGGTAGGCTCCATGAGGTTGCAGAGTTGGATGTGAGTGAGGGCATAACACGGTTAAGCCCTAGGAAGTATACTCAGTGCTAATTGAAGATGGAGTAAGAATATTTTGGGGCACAAGCCCTCCTTTATTTCCTGCTTTACAATTCTCTTCAGTAGTGGTTCTCAGCTGGAAGTAGGAAGGGGAGGGGCTGGGTGTGGAAGTAAAGGGGAAAAGAGCTGGAAGCCCTCCCTGTTCTCAGTTTTACACTAAGCTAAGAAAATCACTTCTGGTACTAAAACTAGTGTAACCACAAGGGTAGCATGAGGGGTAAGAATCACCCAGAGGTGTGATAGACAAATGTAGAAAGCCAAGCCTCATGAGAGTCCAGGTGTACCTGAGAAGAGCTTGGTGCATAACTTTAGGAACTCTTAGCAGCAAAAGCTGTTTCAACTTTTGTCCTAGAAACCCACTTAATTTTGAACATACACTAAATTGGAATACTTGACTGATTTTCTTGGGTAAGTTAGAGACTGGAAATAGGCACTTTAGCCTATTAATGCTTCAAATTGGTGGTAAAAACGAGCCAGAAAGGTAAAAAGCTATTAAACCAGTAGAGGTGGTAATGAAACATTAAGCCTTTTTAAAGTTTTCCGTAGACTTAAGGGAACACACTAGATTTGTTGTCAGGTTGGAAGATTATATCCTTCCCAGTCCAGTGTTTGACTTGTCCAAGCCCCTAGTTCTTGTAACAGGCAAGGCAGGGACTGGAATCCAAGTGTCAGCTCTGACAAGCTCAGAAAATTCATAAAGTTTTATTCAGTTCCTTCCCCTAACCCTTCAGGATGTCCCCAAACTAGTGCTTGCTGAACCACTCTTGCTTGAATATTGTATAATTTAAATAGGCCTTTTCCAACTAAACCTGAGTTTTGAAGATTAAAAGTTCTCCGACACTTAACGTTACACTTAACATGAGAGAAAAGCATTTCACCGGAATAGCTCTAGTGAAGACGAGTGCTGATTTGGGCAATGGGACTAGAATGTCCTTTTTCCCAAAATCACTAACTGACTTGACAGGCTTTGAGGTCTGCACTCGTGTGAATCCCCTGAGGAAAAAAGGTTTTAGCTATTGCTCTAATTCTCTCATGGGATTTCCTCCGTCCTTGGGGATCCCTCAAAGTATTCACGGATCTTGGCAAACACTGCACACAACCGGAGGTCTGAGCAAGGAAACCTCTGTGTGGTCTTCACCAACCTGTGGTATCAACTGGGAAGCGGGGCCAGCAGTCTCTCTCTCTTCCCTGAAGTTGGGCCACACTCACTCAGTACTCAGACACTTTGCACAAGTGTCTGTTTCATTCTTTATGGAAACTACATCTCAAGAGACTTCCCCAACCTCAACAGGCTGCATTTTAGATACACTCTGTTCATCCCTCAATCCGAAGGGGCAAAGGCATTGGCACCCTTTCAATCAGGCCCAGCCAACGCCAAATGGAAGCTTTAGGGACTTCTCTAGTGGTTCTGAGGTCCCAATATGGGGGACCAGGTTTTGATCCCTGGTCAGGGAACTAAAGTACACATGCTACAGCTAAGACCCAATGCAGCTGAATAAATATAAATATTTTTTTAAAAAAGAAGCTTTAGACAAATGTTGATTTCTGGCAAAGGATCTTGCACTTAGTGTAACGATATTAACTGCTGAAATAAGCTTTGAGATTTTCCTTTCTTTGTACCTTCTTGATCCTATCACCATCCTCTTTTTGTGGTCATCAGAAGTTGAGTGGTGAAGTTCACTCTCCAGCTGATAGGTCTCTGCCAAACCCTGTAGCTTATTCTAGCACCTATTCTTTGGACCATGTACCACTAGCCAGGACTCCTTTTAAGGAACATCTTTACCGGCAGAAACTCAAGTGAGTGTTTTGCAAGCTTCGTCCTCTAAATGTTACAACCTCTGAAAAGGATGCTGTGGTCACAGGAGCTCAGGAAGCTGTGTGCTATCTTCCCCTTGGAGGCCATCTTGAAGGCTCCAAGAAGTTCTGCCTTAGAGCAACCAGCTGTGGTTCAGCCCAGTGTGTTCCAATGTCCAATTTCACTTTTTTTTTTTTTCAATCTCCTTTTCAATCAGTTACCATCGCTCACACTTTGAGAAACCTTGTTTGAGCCATGACTCCTCACATCCACATCTCCTTGCCCAGCACTACTGATTGTGCTTTGTTCCCGGCCTCTGCAGGACAGAAACCTGCTGCCGTGGCCTCAGAGACTGCCACAAACTGGGCCTGGAAATTCTGCTGCTAAAATAAAGCAACACAGGGACATCCCTGGTGGTCCAGTGGCTAACAGTGCACGCTCCCAATGCAAGGGACCCAGGTTTGATCCTTGGTCAGGGAACTAGATCCCACATGCCACAGCTAAAGATCTCACATGCCACAATTAAGACAGTGCAGTCAAAAAAATTTTAAAAAAAATAGAGCAACACAAATACAGAAGAGGAAAATATAAATGAAAATATTTTTCAAACACAAGG